GGAGTGTATGGGTATTCAAATGAGGGAAATGTAAATTTAAATTGAATTGAATTTTTATGACTGCTAAACATTTTGACAAATACGGCTTATGTGAATGACAGAGGTAGAGAGAGAGAGAGTGAGAGAGAGAGAGAGAGATGGAGAGAGAAAGAGAGATAGAGAGAGGGTAATTTTATTAGTTAGATGCGTATAATCATGATTTCTTCTGACAGTTATACATATAATTTCTTTTGCTATTAATATATATAATGTGAGTTTAAATATATTATAAGAATAATTAAAATTACAAAATATAAAACTAATATAAATATATATAAAAATATCAAATACTATTCATTCTATTCATAGGCTGCTTTCATTTACATCAATTTTCATTTGAAATAAAGGCATGTTTAGTCTTCCCAGCTTTCCAGTAACTATTAGCATATTTAATGAGCTTGGCTCAACTTTACAATTTTCCTTGATTTTGTGCAGTCGAGCCGAGTGCAAATTTACTGATGCTTCCAGCAGAGCTCTGGCATTTGATTGGCAAACCAATTTCACTGCTAGTCAATAAAGTTTTTGGCATAGAATTTCCCACATTCAGGAAAATTGAAAATTTCTTTTTCTCTTATTCTGCCATAATTTACAGCTATTTTATGTACAGATTATTGAGATGGAAAGTGAACTATAAAGATTGGATTTAGTTTCCAATTTTCAAACTATTTTGCTACCCAACGCAAAAGTTGCTTAAATCACAAACTATAAATGCTTATAATATTCTGTTTAGTATACTCTAATATACATATATACCATATATACATATACACATGTATATACTCTTTAAAATATGCCCAGTTTATGAATATTTTATTTGGATTTATTACGTGCAGAACTCAGCCGATTTACGTGTGGAGCATACGAAACTAAAATCCCAGCTGCCCAGCCAACCTGCCCAGTACTTTAAGCATTCTGCTTCTCACTTTTAAAACTATATATATTGGACTTTCTAATCATTTGCATTGAATATTATTTATCAGCATTATAAATTCAATATTTTACTATTTAAAAATAAATTTAAATAAAGTTATTTATTAATTATTTTATTAGATATTATTTATTAAATTAACAGACGATTTTACTACTTAACTTTTAAATTAATTATTTTTATTTATTAATTAATTTATATAAAATTATTTAAACAAGCGAAAGAGCTAAAGCGGAATATTTAAAATTTATTATTTTTATTTATTTTTTATTAATTTATTAAACATCAATTATTTTAACCAACAAATTATTTTTTCCTTTAATATTTTTTATTTAAATTTCATTATTTTTATTTATTATTGAATTTATTAAAAATTACAAATTTTTTTGCCTTTCTCTATCACTTAAATATTTTTCTTTACTTCGCTAAATATTTTAAAATTGATCAAATTTCATAAATTATAAATGGACATCAGACCAAATGAATTGAATGAATTTTAAATAGAATGGCGTTTTATTTAAACTTGTATCTATAAATAAATAAATCTATGGAAATAAATATGAAATCCCCAATGAAGCTGCGCACTTTCCGAAAATTGTGTTCAAGCTCTTTTTGTGGCTGTGACTGCAGGACATGCGAGGACAACGTGTTTAACGACGACTAAATGGCAGCCAGCAAAAAAAGGACAGCACACACTCTCACACACACACACAGGCAGCGGGTCACGTCAAAGCCAAAAGGTGTAGCTGACAAAAAACTGATAATAGTTTGCACCCATCCATCCATCCATCCGTCCATCCAACCAGGCAGCCTGCCAGTCAGCCCATCCATCTATTCGTTTACCCCCGCCGCTTTTTATCTACGCAAATCTATAGAAAGTTCGCCGAGTTTGGCCGCCGGGTCATGTTTGTCGTCGTCCATTGACCAGTCAAACCGATGAGTACTTTTCCAAGCCATTAGACATCCGATTTTATGGCTAATGCCTGCGCATCTATCCAGTCTATCCAGTGTTTAATAGTTCGCCCACTGTTCGTAGACCATTTGCTAAATTCAATTTAAATTGAAAATGTATTAAATACATTTTCGGTTCCTTGCCTCCGCCATCTTCGCCTCCCATCGTCTGCCTGCCGCTCCCTCCCTCTCTCTCTCTCTTTGCATTAAGGGGGCCACCCTAATCTAATCCGACGTAATACATGAAAATACTGTTTAATCCTGAATGGCTAAACAGCAGAAAAGCAAGAAAAAGGTCCTTTGCACAGGCTGCTGCCATCCTGTTGCTGTTGCTGCTGCTGTTGCTATGTTGTAATGTGGTTCGCACATTCATGCACAATAAAACAAGTACAACAAATGTCTGCGTGATGCAGTGGGCAGAGGAGATACCCTGTAAAAATTGTACTTATAGTAATGCGGAGGAAAGGAGAAGATATATTTGGAGTTTTTTGATACAAATTAAATTGAATATATATAATATATAAGAAATATATGTATCAAATGCACAGCAAATACCCTGTAAAAAAATTCTAATCAATTATGTGAGGCGGAAAACGAGAAAATATAATTGAAATTCTTTGAGAGCTGAAGGGAAGAATATTTATAAGTTTAATATGATCAGCAGATACCCTATAAAAGTTTAAAAATGGTAGTTATAGAAATGGGGAACAAAAGATAAAAGATACTTGGAGTACCTTGCCAACTGAAAAGAAGAATATTTATAATACTTGAGCTATTTTATATATGACTATACATCTTAAACTTTTTATAGACATGCTCTTCTTGACAGTCTATGCCTTACAGGGTATTTGCCACACAGTAACAGGCACTGCAGCCGCATGTGCTGCTTCTGTTTTAGTGTTGCTGACATTATCAATTTCGCCGTGCCACGCTGCGTATGAGTAATCATTTTATTGCACGACCCCAAATGTTGGCTAAGCCACGCACAGTTATAAGAGTCGGCTCATTCAAGCATATGCTATGTGTGCGTGTGTGTGTGGACGTGGACGTGTGAGTCTGTAGGTGTGCATGGGTGCACGTGCTTTTTATGAGCCACTGTGTACCAGCGCTCTTACATTTTACGCAAAATTTGTCCGCCTAAATTAATATAAACGCGTTAAGCCAAATTCTAAAAAAAAAATCTGAAAAATCCCTTTTTAGCTGGCTGCATAATACTCGCTCAGATTACAAATTAAAAAGTAGACTCTGTTACGTAAAATCTGTTATGTTTGGGCTAAATTTATTGGTAGAGCTGTAGGACTTATTGATGGGGGAGCAACCTGTTTAGCTTGTAGACTAGACTTGTAGAATAACTGACTACGAATAAGGATTCTTTTCTCCAAGTGGAAAATTCATGTATTTATATATTGTATATGTATATATGTATTTCTGTGAAGATGGTCAACTTTTTTAGCCAACTATATAATTCAGTTTGCAACTACTTACATATATAAAAAAATACTCACTATTTACTCCAAAGCTCAACTCCCTCAAATAGACTGCTAACAAATAGAAGCCAATCGACTCTTTTGCAGTTATTGAACGGGCATAAATATTGCGCTGCATGTGCCATGTGAGACCATAAATTTTGGTTATTCTCAAACAGGAATTTATGCGCAACATTGAATTTAATAGCCCCAATCAAATATGCAGCCCCCCACGGGACACTGTCAAGGCCCGAAAGTCAAAGCAAACAGAATCTTAGTTGCAAATTGGAAATTCGTATGCCGGGCCAATCAAATATAGCCCATTATATTGGACACTCACGGCTAATTAACTCTAGCTATAGTTAAATAGCAAAGAATAGAAGATAAAATACTAGATAGACTAAAGTTTTTTTAAGCTAAAGGCGCTCTTGGTTTTAAGGTGCATTCAATAATGTTATAAAAATTATTATATATATTATTAATATGATTATATATTATTAATAATAATAATTATTATTATTTTCCAAATTTATTATTACTAAATTATTATTTTTGATTTATGATCATTAATTATTAGCAAATTATTATATTTTTTTTTTTTGTAATTTTTCATTTCTAAATTAATATTTTAAATTTATGATTATTATTAGGTTACTATTATAACATTATTTTGAATTTTGTATTACTTAATTATTTAAAAAAAATCAACATTATCAGTTTATTATTATAAAATCAATAATATATGTTATTAAAATATTATTAATTATTATTAATTTAAAATTACTCAAATCCTTTCTACATTTTTTTAGAATTATTATTATTTATATTATTTTTATTTTTTTAATTTAACACTTTTTATTTAAGTTTAATACCTTTTTTATTATTTAAAAAAATATTTAAAAAAAAAAATAAAAGAAAATACAAAAATAAATAAAAAATAAAAATCGAGTAATAAAAAAAAAACACTTTTCCTGATTCGACTTGCGCGCTTACACAGATCCACTTATAAATTAGTTCCCACACAATGAGTGAGAGAGAAAGACAGAGAGAGAGAGAGAGAGGGCATGTTACGAAATATATGCAATTGCAGATAAATTACAGAGCCGTTGACAAAAACTTTCGCCATTTGAATAAAGCAAAGGGGGCACGATAAAAAAAAAAAAAAACGAGCGAGGCGGCAATTGAGACTAGTAGCACACACACACACACACACAGACAGAGTGACACTCACAAGTGCACTCAAGCAGGTGTGTGTGAGTGTGTGTGAGTGTATGTGTGTGTGGGGCGACGTTCTCGTACCCCATCAAGGCGACGCTTTTGCGCAGCACTCAAAAACAAATTCATTAAAATTGCGCTAATACGGCGTTTGGATTTGGACTCTGAATTGGATTTGGGTTAGACTTTTTGTGCCGCTGCCTAAATTGATGACGTAGCTGAGCTTTAAATGAAACACTTGTACGCTGGCATATCTGTAGCCGTAGCCGTAGTCGCAGCTGTAGCCGTAGCCGTAGCCCTAGCCGTAGCCGAGTGAGCGCTCGGCACGTGCGAAACGGCCGGACTCAATGTGAAGCATTCAGTTGGCAATTTACAGTTGGGCTGATAGCGCTCGCCGGTGTAACAACAACAACAACAACAACGTGTTTATGAAGATGTCGTAAAGCTCTCGCGAGTGTTGTTCCTCTGATAAGTGAGTGAGTGGGTTGTGGGTGCACACACACACACATACGAGTCGAACTACTTAGACGCTTCAGTTGCAGGCTCGGGCGATAGTCGCAACGCGTTCACCGCAGAGGTCAGATCGAACAGAGAGCACGCGCCTCGCTCTGCTCTGCTCTACTCTGCTCTGCTCTCCTCTGCTCTGCTCTGATCGTCATTCATGTCCGTGTTGAAGACATTCGTGGCGCTGGCCATCGCCTGGCTGAGCGTGACCGCCCACTGCGATAGCGATTCGTATTACGAGAAATATTATGCCGCACGCCGTTTTGTGCCGCTCAAGCGCGATTCGCCGCTGAGCTTCAACTTCACGCTGACGCTGTCCCCGCAGGACGAGCTGGCGCCGCACGAGCGGCCCGCGCTGGTCGGCAATCTGGCCGTGCTGGGCGGCTGGCAGGAGGATCGCGCTGTGCTGCTCAATCGCACCACTCAGCACAATGTCTGGATGGGATTGGTGCTGTTGCCGCAGAACAGCAGCGTCGAGTACCGCTACTTTGTGGCCGCCGTGGGGCGGAAGGGCGGCGTGCAGGTGCGTCGCTGGGAGTCGCACGTCTTTGCGCACGCCTTCAACACAACGAAGCTGGCGGGCAATCGCAGCGACGTCCTGGGCACCATCAATGGCCAGCGGCAGCTGACGCGCGGCTGGCTGCAGAGCTCCGGCTCCGGCTCCATTGTGCAGTTCAAGGTGTTCCGCAAGGCCGTGCAGCTGGAGGAGCAGACGGTGCCGCCGGGCGCCGGCCTGCGTCTGCGCCTGCAGCCAGTGCATCCGGACAGCCTGTCGCCCATTCTGAGCTCCGCCGCGGCGAACGTGGAGTACGCGCGCATGGTCTATGCCGAGAGCATGTTGCGGGCCCAGCCGGAATATGGAGTGCCCTATGAGGCGGACAAGGATCTGCTCATGTTCCATGTGACGGTGGAGCAGCTGCAACAGGTGGCCTACCAGCTGGAGGTCTATGGCGAGCAGCAGGATGTGGTGCGCCTGCTGGGCTACGCGCACCTGCAGCCTGCCGCACTCCGAGGCAGCGAGGGCAGCCTGACCCTGCAGCTAATATCCCCGGTCTGGCAGCGTGTTGTGGGCGAGCTGCATCTGCAGTATCTCGTGGTGCGTCCCATGGTCAATGGCAGCTCGGACTTCCGCACCAGCTTCGTCAACTACTGGCGCAGCAATTGGACGGCGTTGGAGATTGGGCATCGTGGCCTGGGCAAGAGCCTGACGCTGCCCTCCACCTCCGCCCCGCTGCTCATCGAGAATACGCTGGCCTCGCTCATGGGCGCTGCGGAGCTGGGCGCCGACCTGATCGAGTTCGATGTGCAGCTGACCAGCGACCTGGTGCCGATCATCCATCACGACTACTCGATACACGTCTGCATCGACTCGAAGACGCCGACGAGCAAGAGCGACCTGACCGAGGTGCTCATCAAGGACCTCACGTACGAGCAGCTGAAGCAGCTGAAGACCTACCAGATCGTCAACAACAAGATCATCGAGTATCCGGCGCACAGCAATGTCGAGATGGTGGAGCAGCGCCTGTTTCCCACCCTGCAGGATCTCTTCGAGCAGGTGACCTTCCGCGCCGGCCTCGACATCGAGATCAAGTGGCCCCAGCTGAAGTCCGACGGGCGCAACGAGAGCGAGCAGACGATCGACAAGAACTTGTTCGTGGACCGCATACTGGAGGTGGTGCAGCGGCATGGCTGCGGTCGCCTCACCATCCTCAAGAGCTTCGATGCGGATCTGTGCACCATGCTGCGCTTCAAGCAGAACATGTATCCGGTGCTCTTCCTCACCAGCAGCAAGGAGAATGCCTTCGCGGATCCGCGCACCAGCAACGTGGAGCAGAGCATCAACTTTGCCCAGGCCATGGATCTGGCTGGCATTGTGCCCAATGCGGTCTTCTTCAAAACGCAGCCTAACCTGGTGCAGCGGGCCAAGGCGCAGCTGCCGCTGCTGCTGCTCTGGGGCAGCGAACTGAAGGATCGCGCCTCCATCGATTGGTTCCTTTCGCTGGGACCCACTGGCGTCATCTATGATCGCATGGACCTCTTGCTGCCGCCGCTCAAGTCCAGCGTCTTCGAGGAGGAGCTCGATTTGCCCGGCTTCTTCCAGCTACAGTGTGCGCCCGCTACGACGCAGCGCCCAGCCAATGCCACCATCGAAAGTATTCTGAGCAATGTTAATGTTCTATAGATTCTATTCTAAGTACTCTCTGTGCTTTAATGCCAAGCAATAAACGTACCAAACAAAGAAGACAATTGAAAATGACCTCTTTTCTCTCTCTCTCTCTCTCTTGCTCCCCCTCTCTCTTTTACTGTGAAACGTGTTCATTTCCCCGACAGCTTCCTGATTGCGCTACGTGTCCGCGAGCATCTGTTCGCTATTCCATTCACGCTTCAATAAAAGAGCGAATAAAAAAAAAAAAACAGTGCCGCAACGACTGCGCAATACGCGCTCAAATTTAAATTGCTGGGAAAACCAACAATTTGCTATAATGGGCGTGACTCAAGTAATGTTGCTTAGTATTTATGAGGCTTTCGATTAACGAACTATATTTGAGAAAACATTTGAAACATTTTAGTTGCAGCAGCAATAATTTAAAATCAAGTTGGAAATAGAATAGAAAATGAAATTCATTGGCGGAATTCGAGAAACTTTACTTAGTATTATCTTAAAGAGTTTTTAGTCTTTTTATTTTTATTTATTTATATATTTTATTTTATTTATTATTATTTTTTTTTTTTTTTTTTTTTTAACATTATATTATATATTTTAGTCATAGAACATTGGGTTCGTAACACTCGCTGAAAATAAAATTTGTAAATAATAATTAAAATTGTTTAAAGAAAGAAATAATATTAATCATTTTATTTTGACATCTTTGATTATTTATAAAAAAAAATACGAATAATAATAAAATTAATTATAATGATATAATTAATATATTTCAATATTTAAACAATAATACAAAAAAAAAATAATAATAATATTGAGAATAATTTAAAAAAAATAAATATATATATATATATATATCTTTTTATTTTAATATTTAAACAAAATAGATCAAAAAAATAATAATAGTATCAAAAATAATGATAAAAATAATATATTATTTTCATATTTAAACAAGAAATATAAACAAGAAGTAAAAAATAATAATAATAATAATATTAATAATAAAGATAAAAAATAATATTTTATTTCATTTTAATATTTAAACAAAATTGATTGAAAAAATAATAATTATAAATAAAATAAATAATTATAAAATGAATAATAATGATAAAAATAATATTTTTTAATGTTTAAACAATAAATATAAACAAGAAGTCAAAAAATATATAATAATAATAAAATTTATAATAATGATACAAATATTTTATTTTTGAACAACAATGTATACAAAACTATTATAAAATTTTCTCTGATTTCAAGATTACCCAAACAAATTTTCTGCCACACTCTCAGCTCGCTCAACCTATATACCCTTTTCACACTCACTTGAATAAGCATAAAAAGGATTTCAAATTTCTTCGCTGCCAATTGCCTTTTCCTGCAGCAGCAAAAAAGACAAAAAAAAGTATAAAAAGAAGAATGAGAAATCCTTTTAAAAGATAACATTCTGCAGTTAAAAGGATGTGGAATACTAAAGCGTTGTCAGCAGCTGAATAATAGTTCATAAACTGACAAATGCCAAAACGACAACAAATTCACTTTCTTAAGTAAAAGTTGCAGTCAGGGCCAGCCAGAGGCTGAGTCAGAGTGGGTGAATGGCTCAAGAGAGCCGAGACTATATGCGCTTTAACAATTCACACGAGAGCTGAGCCGAGTTGTATGGAAATAAATAAATATATAATGCATTTATTTGTATATGCAATCATATAAACAATGCAATTTATTTGGCTGAACTTGAAATTCAAATGTTTAATGAAATCATTGCCATGAAGCAGCAGCAGCAGCAGCCCGCCCCATGTCAAATCGTGTCATGCGGAAGGGGCAAGGCAGGTGTGGTCAAGCGAAGCTGTGATTCGCTGTGATGCAACTGCAACAGGCAGAGCAGCAGCAGCGGCAGCGGCAGAGCAACAACAGCATCCGCAGTTGCATAACCATGTAGGTGAGTGTCGAGCATTTGGATTAATATGCCAAGGCCCGCAGCTCATATTACACCAGATCTCAATTGGGAAGCACACAAACACACACTGACACACACACACACACTCACTTATAATTGGAATCCAACTGGCAGTCCAATTAGATTTGATATTCATGCAAATTAATTTGCTTGCTAAAAATAAGAAAATTGTGCTGGCAATTCCAGCAATCTAATTAGACTCGAGCAAATATAATATAATCTTGCAATATATTAGGTATAATTACATCTAGCAATCTTCTTCTAAGCACGTTCCGTTGCATCTCTCTAGATATAAATATTTATTGCTCATATGTATTTCGCTACACTGGAAGAAATAATAGCTAGAATGACATTATTGAAAAGAGCAATGCTGTATTAACAGTTATTATCATGCACAAACGTGGCCAATAAACGTGTTTACTGAAACAGGGAGCTTTAATTTAATAGAGGTGCTGAATAATTGTTATAAATAAAAGCAAAACTTATCAGAAATATGCATTCGTCGAGCCATAAAAATATTGAAGTATTTGGCTGCTTATCGCCTCAGCTGATATACATATGTCTGATAAAGGTAATCCCAATCGAAGCTATGGCCAATTGTTATGAGAGACATTGATGGCAAATCCTGATAATAATCAAGATTAAATTAAATTTATTTTTGCAATAATCAAGTTGACAGTAGATTAGTAGATAATGAATTGCTTAGGCAGATAAATATCATTCATAATAGAATTAAATTTTAAATAAAATTTAAGAAATATTTTTAATAACATTTAAGAAATATTTTTAATAAAACTAAATAAATTTTTAATAAAATTTAATAAATTTTTAATAAATTTTTAATGAAACTTTATAAATTTTAAGCAAAATTAAATAAATTTTAATTACAATTTAATAAATTTTAATCAAATTGAGGCAAAGTAGGGTCAACATTGCAAAAGGGCATAAAACTAAAAAAAGACTGTACTCTTCATAGCCTTTATAATACTCGTATCAAAAATCTTAATTTATTCCGCCATTTATTCGAGAAATAATTTTATTGCAATTTGATTTACAGCATTTTATATAGTTTAAAAAATACTAACCTCTTGTTATCAAAAAAAACCTTTTTGCCACAGTTCCACAGTTCGTTATAAAATATAGCTCGTCCTCTGCATTCAATTTATATAGTAGTTCGCCTGCTATATCTACCAATTTTTGATAGAGCCAATATTGAATGATTCATGAAATATTAAATGAAAAGTTTTAGTTGGTGATTTAGTTTTTCTTTTTTTGAATGTGAACGAGTTTTGCGCATTCAATTGACTTTCGCCAGCTGCTGCACAATGCATGAGAACTCACGTAAATGAAATCAAATTCCGCGGGCTCTACTCCAGCAATATAACTTTTATTACAAATGTGAAACAGCTCGCCTGTACGCACAATGTATGTATGTAGTATATGTATGAAACTAGCAATTTCAGAGTATGCAATAAATAAATAATGTTTCAAACAAATGTTGAAAATGTTTGGCAAACTTTTTGATTGAAAACTAGAAGCAGAGGAAGTCGCAGCAGGAGCATAGTGTGTGAAGAATAGTGTATGAGAGAGAGAGAGAGAGAGAGAGAGAGAGAGGGAGAAGGAGAGAGACAGAGAGAGAGGGAGAAGGAGAGAGGGAGAGAGAGAGGGAGAAGGATAGAGGCAGAGAGAGAAAGAGAGAGAGAGAGAGAGTGGAGTGGGAGAGAGAGATAGAGAGAAAATAATAGCTTGGGATAGGCATATACTAACGAGCTCTATAAATGTATATATATGCATATATCATACATATAAAAATGGGTTCAGGGTATAAAAACCAAAATAAAATATATAAAATTTAAATTTTTGTGTAAAATTGAAAAATTTCTAAAAACGCGCTCAATTTAAAGCAAAAATAAAAAAATTTAAACCTGAAAGATTTTTCTGACTGCTAATTAGACTAGGCAAAGGTCTCCTCTGCCATAGATAATATAATAATATAGTATATAATAAGAGAATATGTGATATATTGTAATAAACTTTACTTGATATATAATATTTCAGTTATAATAAATACCATTTATAATAATTATAATAATTAAAAATAAATACAATTTACAATAATTATTGTTCACAGCGCCAGCTGATGGACGCCTACATACGTCAGAAGCGCGCCTCGCCTGGGATGGTGCAGGCCAGCGATCTGCAGATGAGCCGGCCGATGTCTGGGATGCGCAGCAATAGCCGTGAGCTGCACGGGTACGATGGGCCGATGCAGTTCATTGGCTCGCCACACAATCCAGATCAGATATTGAGCAACAACAGCACAACAGGTGTTCATCTAACCAGCAGCCTCAACTCGAGTCGCAACAACTCGAACAACTTGCGCAGCCTTAGCACGATCAATCAAGAAGGTGATAAGAAAACAACAACCACAACAACAACAGCAACAACAAGAATGAATACTCTATTTAATTGCAGACTTAATCGAGGAGATCTCGTCGCATGAGCTGGAGGACGATGAGAGCAGTCCGGTGACGGTAGTGGAGCAACCGATTCAGCCACAGAGCGCCAACTCGATGCAGTCCCAGCGCCTGCGCAGTGGCCAGCAATCGTTCAACGAGCCGCTGGATGAAGACGACTATGCCAATCGCAACATATCGGGCGTGGCCGCAGTGCGTCCCGCCAACATTGCCTCGCCCTACAAGGACAGCGCCGCCGTCGAGGGCAGCAACGGCACCGCCAACGGCAGCGGCAGCATCGGCGGCAACGGCGAATCGGAGGGCGATGTCATTGGCAACATCGATCAGTTCGTCATGCAGCCGGCGCCACAGGGTGTGCTCTACAAGTGCCGCATTACGCGCGATCGCAAGGGCATGGATCGCGGCCTGTTCCCCATTTACTATCTGCACTTGGAGCGCGACTATGGCAAGAAGATCTTTCTGCTGGGTGGTGAGTGGGCATACCCAGAGACCTCTGCTTCAGCAAAGATGAAGTCCTGATCAACTTCACTTTGTCACTTCCAGGTCGCAAGAGAAAGAAGAGCAAAACATCCAACTATATCGTGAGCTGCGATCCCACCGATCTGTCCCGCAATGCGGATGGTTTCTGCGGCAAGCTGCGCTCCAATGTGTTCGGCACATCCTTCACGGTATTCGACAGCGGCAACAAGGAGAGCACTGAGAATCCGCGCCTCGATCTGGCCGTCATTATATACGTAAGTCTACTCAGTGTACGACCCAAGTCGATCTTTATTAATTGCCTAATCCTCACCAGGACACCAACATTCTGGGCTTCAAGGGACCGCGCAATATGACTGTGATACTGCCGGGCATGACTGAGGACGATCAGCGTGTCAAGATCAGCTCAGCGGATCCCAAGCAGCAGGGCATACTCGACTTGTGGAAGATGAAGGTAGGTTGAGCGTAAGCAATTTAAGATTCCAGCATTCACATTCTCTCTCTCTCTCTCTCTCTCTCTCTCTCTCCCTCTCTTTCTCTCCCTTTCTTTCTACCAGAACATGGATAACATTGTGGAGCTGCACAATAAGACGCCAGTGTGGAACGATGAGACCCAATCGTATGTGCTCAATTTTCACGGTCGTGTCACGCAAGCCTCGGTCAAGAACTTTCAGTTGGTGCACGACTCGGATCCCGAGTATATAGTCATGCAGTTCGGACGCACATCCGAGGACGTGTTCACCATGGACTATCGCTATCCCCTGTGCGCCATGCAAGCCTTTGCCATAGCTCTGAGCAGCTTCGATGGCAAAATCGCCTGCGAGTGAATCAGATTGTAAATGGAAGTCAAATTGGCATTGATTGAGAGCGCAGTTACGCATGCCTTATTATGCTCGACTAAGCATACCCTAACTCTAATTGAATGCGGTCGTCGTAGAATGTAAGAAATATGAAGAGAATAGAGCAGAGAAAAGGAGAATCTTGTATCAGACATAGGCTATATATAAAACATATGTTATTCAGCTGTATTAATACAGTGAGTTATATATTATTTTTCACAAAATACCCTACAAAGACCAACACCACAACAAAATACTATTTCATTCAATTTTCAATACTTTTACCTTATCCAAATGCTTCAAACTTTAAACTTTAAACCAAATTCTGTACTTAAAAATTCATATTTATATATGAGTATTATTATTTTATGATTTAAAACATATATAGTCTATAATTCTAGTCAGTCGAAGTGCGCATCAATACAGATTTGCGGCACAGTAGGCAACAAATCACATATTTCTATATAAATATATAGATAATTAAATAAACATATTTAATGTAAATTAGTATATATAAAAAGTCTACTCACCGATTTTATAAAACAGAACAAAAAACATACCACAAACGCTATCTCTATGTTCTTCACACACACAAATTTCAAAATCATGAACAAATCAAAAGGAAAAAGTAACAAAAATCAAAAAATAATAAAAAAAAAAATTAATAGAAATTAATGAAAAATTAAATTTATTTAAAATATATTTTGTTGAATATTTATATTTAATTTTAGCTAAATCAGAAAAATCAATAGATGAAACAGGAGAATTTCAAAAATGTTTAAAAATTCCCTTGTGGGTTCAATATAAATTTTATAACATCTTTTTTTACTATCTATCAACATTTCGTTAGCAGAAGCTTAGAGCAAGACCTTTCAAACGAAGACCCCAAGTACTTTCAATTCACATTTTCATCAATCAACTATAAATTAATAAAGTGAAATATGAATCAAGTATAGTTAATTTTATTTAGTGCCCATTAAGTACAATTTCATTTGTGTATAATAAATGCATTATTTCGGTAGCACGTCTTTTGATTAGAAACAATTTGGAGCTATATACAAAACAAGATCAGGTTTTGATTACGTACTTTTGTTATATAAGATTTAAAAAAAACAGTTTACGTTTCTATATCTGTTTTCAAACGAGATTCAATTAATATCCTTATGGAATGTACAATTTGCTTACATACGTTCAACAAAATGCTGGAATGATCTAAGGAATACGAACTTAGTGACGCTATGAACGAGTGCGAGTTTTCTGCTCGACTCGATCGTTGGCCAACCTGAACTCGTCTGGGTCGTAGTCCTTGTAAGCTAACTGTCGCTCAGGCGACGTTTCAGGTAACTTGTTAATTTTCTGCAGGCGTGTGATTACGATCTGCAGATGACGCCCGATATAATCCTCATTGGGCGCTAGTCGCTGAGCAAACTGCAGGCAAGCAGCAGCCTTGGCCATCCATTTGCGCTCCACGAAAACCACGCAGAGATTGTGCAAGCCCTGCGTATTGTGCGGATCGTGCTGTAGTATGCTGCGATAGCACTTCTCTGCCGCATCCAGATCCTTCATGTGATTGATGTAGATGTCGCCAAGCAAGATGAGGCCCTTGACATGCGTGGGATGGTGGCGTATCAATTGATTCAGAAAAGGAACCGCATCCAGCGGTCGCTTCGAGTCAGCCAGCAACAATGCGAGATTAAAGAGAGCGCTACGAAAGTCCGATTTTAAATGGATGGCGCGCTTGAAGAACTGCTCGGCTTCGTCAAAGCTGGACTCATCCATGGCCAACATGCCCAGATTGAAGTAGACCTTCTCATTATTCGCATCCTTAGACAGAACCTTGTAGAGGCGGGCGCGCGACAGCTGACGCGCCTCCTCGCCGCCCAGCTCTTGCAGCAGTATAGCCGAATTCAGCAGCGCCTGCTCGTGCTCCGGATACAATTCGATGGCCTTATTGAAGTATACATGGGCCTGCTGACTCTTGCCCTGCTCCAGAAAGACGACGCCCAAATTGTAATATATATCCGCATTTTCGCTGTCATATAGAAGCGCCTGCTCATAGACCTCCTGCGCTTGGGCTGTACGATTCAGTTTCATGAGAATGTCGCCACGATTTATATAAGCCTGCAGCAGGAATAATTTAGTTAAATTAAAATCTGCGATATATCTAACACCTCTTACCTGCACATAATCACTGCGCATGCTGATGGCCTGACGGTAGAGATGATCGGCCTCCTCCAGCCTTGTTTGATTTTTCGATATCAGATTGGCCAGATTAATGAAAACATTCAGATGATTGGGCGCAATTCGTGCATGGTAACTAACGCCAGCCTTGGCCTGTGGGAACAGCGCCTTGGCACGCATATACGCCTGCTCTGCCTCCGCGTAGCGCTTCAGGTTGTTGTAGGTGCGGCCGACGTTGATGTGGGCGCCAATGTCATCTGTTTGTATTTGCACGGCTTGCTGGAAGTAGAGCAATGCCTCCTCGTATCGTCCCTCGTTCTCCAGGGCGTGACCCACGTTGTTGTACAGTTTGGCATTGCGTTGATTCACATGCACGCCGGACATGAACAGCGAGTACTCTGTGCGCCAATCCCAGTTGCGCTGCTGTGTCTTCAGGCCATGCGCCAGCAGCAGGGCAACAAGTGCCGCCTGCGCCAGACGCTCCCAATGAGTGGCGTGAAAACGGCGCTGGAACTGATGATAGCCATAAGCAACAAGTAGACAGTAGCCCATGGATGGCATATACAAAATGCGCTCGGCCACCACAAAGCCAACCGGAAAGAACAGATTCGAAGCGGGCAGAAACGGCAGCACCATCCAGCCCAGGCACATGAGCAACGTGCGTGACTGGGATAGATTGCGGGAGAAGCAAGCCTTTGCCACCAGCGCGCCCAAAGCCAAAAAGGTGCACAAGGTGGCCAAGTTTCGTGCATCACCAAATCCATCCAGCAAGGGCACGGTGCCTGCACGGAGTAGATTGTTTAAAAGACATTCCAAATATTCAATTTACGAATCACTCACCCATTGTCCAATCGCAGCAGAGCAGCGATGGACATAGCAAGAGCCAGCAGTTTAGGTAGATGAGGTAGGCGTAAGTCAGTTGGCGCACGGGCGTCTCGGCTGCCGAGGCGGGATTGTCGAAGCGCGTGAAGATGGGCAACTGGGAGCCCATCACATAGACACGCCCGACCAGCAATGCGACTGTGATAATGACCAGAAAGGCCAAGCGCTTCCACAATGTGGACGACCAGCGTCTGGCATGTGCGTGTCCCGCCTTAGCGGGCGGCTGCTCCTCAAACATACGCAGCACAAGGTGCCACAGCTGCAGCGGCCGTTGCTGCTGCACCACGAACAACTCGTAAACTGCACAAATGCCAGCGACGGTGATGCCCTGCTCTTTGCACAGCATGGAGGCCAGGAGGCAACTGCCAAAGCAAAGGCAAAGCGCCGGCCAGTTCGTGCGTCGCGGCGAGCCACTCGTTGCGTGCGCATAGCTGAGAAAGGCGCCCAGGTAGCATATGGAAGAGAGCAATTCAGCGCGGCCTACGACGCCAGTAACGGCCTCGGTGTGCACCGGATGTGTGGCGAACAGGAGCGAGGCGACAAAGGCGCATGTGTTGAGGGAGGATGACGACGACGAGGTCGCGGACGTGGAGGATGCACCGGACGACGCCTCATTACTGCCAGCTGCACACTGACGCAATATGAGGCGGCAGACACGACGCCACAGCAGGCAGACTGCAATGTGCAGCAGCAGGTTGACGAGATGATAGCCGAACGGCTCCAGTGCATGCAGCAAGTAGTTAAAGCGGAACGTCAGCACGGTTAGAGGCCTGTACGACTTGTGGGACTGCTCCTTGCGCATCGGTGTGCCCCAGAAATCATTGAGGAACACATTACGCAGCGGCGTGCTCGGCCGCAAATCCTTGTTGTCCCTAATCGCGCTGATGTCGTCAAACACCAGACCGCACTGCGTGCTATTGTAATAGCAGACCACACAGGCCACACAAATGCAGAGGAACTCGAGCAAGTTGCGTTGCGAGCTGCTTCCAGCTCTCGCTCTCTCCCGCTCCCGATTGCATGCGGCTGCAGTTGTTGCATGCTGTTGCAGTTGGTGTTGGTGTTGGTTGGGGTTCGTTGACATGATTGACTTTCGGCTCCTGCCCTATCGCCGTTCCCGTTACTTTCCAGTCAGTACAGAACTTTTAGTTCATGTATCCATAATTACTTTAACCAAGCCAGATGGAATGCGTTTTCTTTTCTACAGTTAACGTCTATGAAGGTGTCTATATAAGTATTTCTTATAAAATATGTAGAGCTTCTACATTGCCTGAAAGAGAAAGGAAAATGAGAGTTATTAAATTACTTAATCGTTTTGACTATAGAGATATTAACTTTAAAGTATTTTTTAAGCTTTACTATATGCTTTTAAATTACTTATTCAGTATATGGATGCCTTTAACAATTTTTACATTATTTACTTATTCATTTTAACTTTATAGATATGTAGTTAAAAGTCGTAAACTAATTTAAATAGACATTTTTAATTTTTAACTGCATATAGAAATGTATTTAAAGGAATTTAAAAAATGTATGGTAATAATTATTCATTTATATGTATATGTATTTTCTAATTTACCTTTAAAGAGTTCATTCACAATCCCACAATTTAATCAATTAAGTTAACAGTCTTTTCAACATTTTAAATTGATGATTTTGATTAGATTTACTGTGTTTTAGGAAAAACCCTGGATTGATGAAAAAATCAATTAATGCGCAACAAAGTAACTTCGTCCCGGTTACTGTCCTCAATACCGACTGCATAGACCAGAGTCCCGAAGTTAACAAAGTTGTAAGCGCCCCAACAAAATCAAAGGCAGCAGCAGCGACGGCAGCAGCGGCAGCGACGGCAGCAGCGGCAGCAACCGGCAAAAGTTGCACGAAGAGAATATTGCACAGTCAGCAAACAGAGTCGAAGCTGGAGTATGCGAAAGGAAATGGGTGTGTTTTTGTTTGTTTTGTAAATATTATGAAGGAAGACATTACTGGCTGAGGCACAGGCAGAAGCAGAAGCAGAGGCAGAGGCGCAGGCAGTGGCAGAAGCAGAGGCACATCGGCATGCGGATGCAACATTATTGCTTCACATGCGCTGACCGAGAGACAGCAACAAAGTTGCACTCAATGTCATCGATTTTGTGTGCCGCCAGTCAAAACAAACCACCACCAAGTAAACGTTACGACCGTCCTGGAGAGGCACATAGAAAGAGAGAGCGAGCGAGAGCGAGAGCGAGAGAGTGTGATGTAGTGAGAGCAACTTTGTTGCACGACCGACATTTTTACAGCAGGCC